ATGATGATAACTATGTGCACTGCTCAGCTGCTGAGCAATAGATCAAGGGCCATTGCCTCTATGCCAGGTGTATAGAACCTTTGCTCCTCCAGATGATTCAGAACTACATCTCCCAAGAGTCAAGGCTGATGGGAGTTCACAGATCCTAGAATTGGAAGGGACTGGGAGGATCATCTAATCCAACCCTGTGCAATGCTGGAATCTTTTGCCCAACGTGAAGTACAACAGCTGGAGGACCACTGGCTCCCCCAATCCCTGTTATAGGCTGTGACGTGTAAAGGCCTGTAAAGGATACTCATTTTCACGTTTTGTTCATTTCTGTGAGGTTAAAAGAAGCCACTGATGTCAAAGGAAGATTTTGAAAGCATTTTTTCCCAGTGCAGTCCTATGCATTTGGACTGCAAAGTAAGAGCCATTGAGGTGAGCAGCACTTCCCTCAAACAAGTATTTGTTTCCTGCAAAGCCACATTCATTAAAATGCTATTTGTTTTGTATGCTTTTCCGTTATACTGATCCACGAAGCTTATGCAACAGGGCAGTTGCTTAAGCAAATTGCTGGAATATGTCTTTTCCTTTCCCCCCAGTTGGGTGTTTGAGAAACTGTTTACTGGTGCTTGAAAAAGAGAACTGCTGAGGCAGACACCTTGCACCTGGCTCGTCACATGCCTCAACTCAGCACCTTTCTCAGGAGGACATTTTCACTACTTATCGGGACTTAAAAAGAAACACCGAGTTTTGCAGCAATATGCAAGTAATTAAAAGCCAAAGGCAAGCTGTTCAAAAAATATGTTTTGACACATGGCAGTCACCTTGTTTAATGTATCGCCCCAGAACGTTCTAGCCTGCAAGGTCCATTAGAGATGGCTTGAATCAGTCAGAAAATGTTGGTGCAGAGGCAGAGCTCATCACAGAACAGTGGCAGATGGAAGGAGTGTTTGGCAGTTACTGGAACCATTTTCCATCGAGATCTAATCCATAACCTTTGGGAACTGATGCACTGTTTCGCTTGTGGCAAAGAGTTCCATAGCTTGGTTTCCCTCAGGTTAAGAGCAGACATTATAAGGTAAAGGGCCCCCTGACCATTGGGTCCAGTCGTGGCTGACTCTGGGGTTGTGGCGCTAATCTCGCTTTATTGGCCGAGGGAGCTGGCGTACAGCTTCTGGGTCATGTGGCCAGCATGACTAAGCCGCTTCTGGCGAACCAGAGCAGCGCACGGAAACGCCGTTTACCTTCCCGCTGGAGCGGTACCTATTTATCTACTTGCACTTTGACGTGCTTTCGAACTGCTAGGTTGGCAGGAGCAGGGATTGAGCAACGGGAGCTCACCCTGTTGCGGGGATTCGAACCGCCAACCTTCTGATCGGCAAGTCCTAGGCTCTGTGGTTTAACCCACAGCGCCACCTGCAGCCTGCAGACATTATATTCAGGGCAATAAGCTACTTTCCACTGCCACTGTCAGAGGTACTAAGTCTCTGAATACCAGTTGGCATGAATCTCAGGTGGGCAGTTTTAGAATAGTGTTTTGTCATCATGCAGTTTCATACTTTTAGGTCAATTCACACTTCTCCCGGAGTTTGATACAATATTGTAAATGTACAATTGTTAGGACAGAGTTAAGGGGAGAAAACATGGACTACACCACACCAATCCAAACTATAAATGGGGTATTACATTTCAGCCGCTCCCCTGCATTTAAAACAGAATACAAAGAGAAAGCCAAAACAACAGAGGGCTAGAATCTCCTTAGCTTCTCCCAATGTGCTAGTGTCTCTTGTCTTCCTCTCATTGTTTACACGAAGGAAGCACTGAAAAGGACTACAAATCCCATCATCTCTGACCACCAGCCATGTTGGCTAGGACTCAGATCCAACGTTTGGAAGGCCAAAGGTCTCACACTCCTACTCTAAGGTCATCCAAGGAATGTAATGGCCCAGCTGGCAAAGCATTTGAACCTTTCCTTGATGGAAATCGTTGTGTTCACTCTCTCATGTAGTGGAGACAGGAAACACAACTGTGGCTAACTGGCGGCCACAAAAGCAAAAGATAAAGTGTGCAATGGCTATAACCAGGCTAATGAGCCATGACCAAGCACTCACTGTTTCTCAACAGCTCGAGGCTAGGAAGCAAAAGGTTACGCACACAAAAGTTTTGCTAATTTGCATCGACTGCGAGCTGGCAAACTCATTCATCAATCAAAACGTGACATCATCTGCAAGATTACAGTGCCTTCTTGCTTTCAAACAAAACCATCCCAGAGTAGCACATGGAGATAGGAGATAGTTTTGCTAAAACAAGCCAGCCACTGTGAATTCAGCGTGTCCAGGATTCAACATTTAGCACCCCAATTCAAATGGACAAACCCTATTGTTCCCATCCTAGGGCTTCTAAGTTATCTTCACAGAACAGAAAGGCTACACATTTTGTCAAGCAAACCATTACTCCACGAAACCTGAATTACAGCATTATGGAGATTTACTGCCAATTGCTCAGTCCGCTTTCAAAACCAACTGTCAAAATCCCAGTGAGAGAGCTCTTTTCTCAACTCCTTTGCAACTTAAAAACAAATGTGCTGGTAAGAAACCATTTCTAGGGGACAGATTTCTGGTCTACCAAGGCACATTTATGACACCCCCCTGCCACAATTGTCCATCAATCCAAGAGCAGCAGCATGTGCAGTATACCTACCTATTTAAAATGTAGATTCAGCTGTCCAATGACCCTCAAGACCCATGCAGCACTTAGTGATGCTGGAGGTCCTGTGGCTCTTTAGGTGATGTTGGGGCTACAGCTCCCATCGCCCTTGACCACAAAAGGTTGGCTTGGGGCTATGAACATCTGTTACTCCCATGCTGTCTGAATCAGGTCATCCACAATTTTTAAAAACTTACAAGGACTAATCATAACACATCAACATTAGTTTGGGTTGAGTATTGTGCATTTAAATCTTTGAAGGAATCTTGCATTTGTGATGGCCCCTACCTTGTCCTACTACTAAAGTTATTTCCCAGTAAAGGTTGTGTGTGTTGCACAATGCCAAACGCTGGGCTGGTTGAGAAACTATTTTCCACTTTCCTAGAGATTCAGGGGTGTGGAACAGTGTTAACCCAATACATCCATAGAAGAAACCTTCGCATACAGCCAGGGAGATCGGCTGCAATTAAAATTAGGTAGATTTACTCTTTTCCTCCTATCACATTTTTCAATAGAAGGCATGCTTTACAATATTTATTGTATCTAGCGCACTTTGTGCTGGCTAATGGGTTTTGTCACCAGAGGACTAAGTTGCCAGGCATACTCAAAACAGATATCCAAGAAGGCCTGTTTTGTTGTCATTTTGTGTTTCACCAGCACCTCAATCCAAAAGGCTACCATATTACTTGAGAAGCTCAAATACTGGACTGATCACAAAGGGCAGTTTGGATTGCAGGTACACACAGATTTTATGAACAGGAGCATTTGCCAGCCTCTTTTTAACAGGCATGGGACCGCAAGGATGCGTGAATGACGTATTTCCTCCATTCCAAACTGAGAAACCGCATAGTACCTCTACTGTACTAAGACAGCTGTGCTAGGTAAGAGGGCACCAGGTTGGGTACACGCTTCGTCAAGACCCTGAATTCTTTAGCACCCAGAGCTTTGGAGCAAATGCCAAAAGTTGCACGAGACTTGCACGAATTGTGTTGTTTTGCACCAAACACCCTACAAATGGGAGAAGCAATTCCATGGTAAAAAACCCCACTATGGTAACGGCAAGTCTTGCTCCAGATAATCAAGCCTAAAACAAAGGCCTCCCTCATGTTATCTCTGTGAAATATCCTCCCAGGAGTATTCCACTGCTGTAGCCTAGTCAACTATCCAAGTTTGTAAGGTAAAAGATAAAGGACCCCTGGATGGCTAAATCCAGCCAAAGGCGACTATGGGGCTGCGGTGCTCATCTTGCTTTCAGGAGGGAGCTGGCTTTTGTCCACACAGCTTTCCAGGTCATGTGGCCAGCATGACTAAACCGCTTCTGGAGAAATGGGACACAGCAATGGAAACCAGAGCGCACGGAAACACCATTTAGCTTCCCGCCACAGTGGTAACTATTTATCTGCTTGCACTGGTGTGCTTTCAAACTGTTAGGTTGGCAGCTCAGACAGAGCAATGGGAGCTTACTCCATTGCAGAGATTCGAATTGCTGACCTTCTGATCTGCAAGCCCAAGAGGCTCAGTGGTTTAGACCACAGCGCTACCCACGCCCCCCAAGTTTTTATCTTGTCCTAGCACAGTGGGAGTTCACTTTCCTCTCTGAGCAGTGGGAACAAGAGGAAGCCATGTTATAGCAAATCAGGCCCTTTTCCAGCTAGCTTAGTATTGTCTACACCAGGGGTCAGCAAACACTTTGAGCAGGGGGCCGGTCCACTGTCCCTCAGACCTCATGGGGGGCTGGATGAATTCCTATGCCCCACATATAACCCAGAGATGCATTTTAAATAAAGGCACATTCTACTCGTGTAAAAACACGCCGATTCCTGGACTGTCAGTGGGCTGGATTTAGAAGTTGACTGGGCCTTAGTTTGGCTACCCATGGTCTACACCAGCCTTTCTCAACCTGTGGGTCCCCAGATGTTGAACTACAACTCCCATCACTCCTAGCTAGCAAGGCCAGAGCTCAGGGATGATGGGAGTTGTAGTCCAGCAACATCTGGTGACCCACAGGTTGCTCTCTGCATTTCTTTCCCCGAACTACCTGGAGATGCCAGAGGACTGAACCCAGAATGCTTTGCACGCACAGCATGTGCCCTGCCACTGAGTTACAGACCCTTCCCAAGAGAAGCCCTTTCCTTGTGCTCCCTTCTCTTCCTGAAGCAAGTGTAATTGATTTCGTTAACCTATACCTTCCCTTGTGAAGACTGCCTTCGGAATGAAAAGGGGTCCACGCTATGAAGGATGACAATGCAACTAGAACGATGCGTTATTTTAAACGGCAGTTTGGGACATACAAAACACACACAAAAGCCTCGAGTGTTGCAAATGTTTTATTCCTGGTGCTATTGGGGCTTAGATTTTGTTGAAAGCGGCCACATCCATGGACTGAACATAATCCTCAAACGCAGTGATCCTCTCTTCCAGCATATCGGTTCCAACTTTATCGTCTTCAACTACACACTGAATCTGAAGTTTCTTGATTCCATAACCAACTGGAACCAGCTTGGCTAGAAAGCAATTGAAAGAGCTGTAAGCGACATTCCGCCTCTTTTCTATCTACACAAACTCAGGATTATGGACAGACAAGAATTTTGCCCCATCATAATCTTGGCTGGTGTCGGGGCTTCCGATGGGGAGAAAGCATAGCCAGTGGCCCAAACCTGACCTTTCTGAAACAGCTAACACACAAGCAAGCTGTGAACATTACATTCCCCCTCAGGGGAATGCAAAAGGGGAAAAAGTATGTGGACCAGGAAGTGGGTGCTGCCCCCCCACACTCTCATTCACCTGCTGCCCCCCCAGCTTACCCATGCAGATCAGCTGAGGAGAATCACTGCCTCCTCTCTGCTCATCAAATGTTCAATCTGATGACCGGGGGGGGGGGGGGGGGAGGCGGGGGGAGAGATTTGCATCCCCATCAGGGTGCTGCCATCTGCCTGCTCTAGTTGCTGCCAAAATTGGTAGGATCTTTTGTGGGGGCAGGATTAGGCCCTCAAAGTGGAAGCTACATACCCCTGACCATAAAGGGAACAGATTAAAGGAGGACACCATTCTCCTAGACCGGCAGTGGGGAAGCGAGACATATTCCCTCAAAGATAATAACTCCAATTTTATTTCTACCATGCCAATCTGGCTGGGTTTTCCCAGCCACAGATTTAAAAACAAACCAACCCCCCCCCCCAAAAAAAACCCCTTCCATCATCAAATCACTTCCTTTAACTGTTGAATACATCACAAAGAAAATGAGGATGGGGTGTTTGTGGGAGTTCAGAGTTCATCCAGTTCACCAGGTTTTTCTAGACTTTTCTGCAAAGGGCAAAATCTTTGCTGTTTCAAAGGGCTGCGCATTAGCAGCATTGCTTTGCACACATGTACTTGGTGCTTGCTATATACAAGCACCATCCTGGCAGTGCTACCCCTCCGCTAGTGGAGATGGTTTCTTACCCTTCCTTTCCCCCAACCTTTCTCCAATGGGGCAAATATTTAGATGCAACCCCCCCCGCCTGTCAAATGCACAAATGGAATGTGATTGTGGAGCTCATTAAGTAAGCCATTATGGACCCCACAATCTATTCAACAGCTCTGATGGAACGCCAAAATTTTCCTCTCTCAAGCTTAGAGAACTACTAGGAGGCTGTATGCAGCAGCCGTAGCAGTCTTAAGCCCCCCACTTCTTACTTGCTAGGTTCCACTGCCCTGGAAATTGAAGTAAGTGGCACCATCAAGTTCTTCGGACTACAATTTAAGAGCTATCTGAATCGAGCGAGATGTTATGCATCTAAACTGTCTGCTCTGCCAGAGAGCTATGAGCCTCCAATTGTCGGCCAGTTACTTACAAGATCCCCAAACCAGGCCATCCGCCTGAATACTTCTGACACACTCTTCTAATTTGCCCATGTCCGTCTCATCATCCCAAGGTTTCACGTCCAACAAGAGGGACGACTTGGCAACGAGCGCTGGCTCTAGAGAAACCAAAGGATAGCTCAGGAAAAGCAGCAAAGCAGACTGTTCAGATTAAAACCAGGAATTCTCTACAAATGCACCTAGTTGCAAGTTTAACCTATACTGGTTAAGAAAAGCATTTAAAAAAAAGATCATTACACAGCAGCGTAATACATTACAGAAACGTTAAGTACCGCTAAACGGAACATTGATTTCTCTACCCAACTAGGCTATTACAAGAATATGAAGTGTGGAAGACATGGTCCTGTCTGTTACACTGAAATTCCCTTCCCTGGTGGAGAAAGGAGCATTGCATAGTGTAACTGCTAATCTCCCACAGTTGGAATACTGCAACTGCTACAGTACAGAGCAGTTTCAGGCCAGTAGCTGTGGGATCCTTCATTGGTTAGAATTAGAGGAGTCAGAATTTCCCCTTCAGCAACACAGCACAGGATTTGATTGTAAACAATTGTTTCCTATGGCTTCTATTCCGCAGCCTGGAAACAACATTGGTCAAAACTAGGAATTTTAACTCAAAACTTATTAGGACACTTTGGAAATAGCTGGAAGAAAGTTCTGCTGTCACTTATTTATGCTGATTTCAATTCACAATAACTTAATCTAAAAAGCAATTCAAAGTGCATAAATTCAAAGGCGAAGAAGTTGGATAACGTACTTTTGGATTTCTTTGATTCATACTGAGCAAGCCGCTCCTCCCTTAATCTTTTTGCTTCTTCACTTTCCTATGAAAATAAAGAGATTGTGTTGGGGAAAAAAGAAAGCAACTGTTCCCAAACAGTGATCAAGTATACCTGGACATGTCAGGTAAAACAAATCATCATGTTTTCAGCCGAAAGATGGTGATTTGGTTTTGTTCATCATGTTGCCAGGCTCTTTTTTGTTTAAATGCATGTGGGCTCATGAGACCTCTCTGCAACTGGAAATTGAAAGAAAAATATTCTGGATACCTCCTCTTCATCAGAGCCAAAGAGATCAATGTCATCGTCATCTTTGCTGTCTCCGCCTGTGCCTGTTGAGTCCTCAACATCTGAAGGGCCGTATTTTCCCAACGCCTTCTTCACTCCAGGCAGACTAGGGGAAAAAACCAGACGGAACTTATATGGTGCCCTTCTACTAACATATGACCCAGAAATAAATTGCAAAAGTGTGTCCCAGTGTTGTCAACTAATTACCGTATTTTTTGCCCTATAGGACGCACCGTCCCATAAGGCGCACCTAGTTTTTTGGGGGTAAATAAAGGGGAAAAAATTTATTTCCCACCCAGGCCTGAGCTCCCCCCGACCCGGCAACTCTCCACAAGCGGTGGGAGCCCAGCGCCGGGCTCCCGCGCCTTGTGGAGAGCTGCGCGAAGCCTGGGCGCGCTGAGCTCAGCGTGCCCAGGCTTCAACATGCGGAGATCTGTGCACACCGACCCCTCTCGCTCTCCAGGCTTCAGCGAAAGCCTGCATTCGCCCCATAGGATGCAACACATTTCCCCTTCATTTTTGGAGGGGAAAAAGTGCGTCCTATAGGGCGAAAAATACGGTAACAAACAAGCCACCACTTAACCATCGAGACATTGCAAAGGCAAGATACCAGATGCCAGCAGAAAAAGCACCTGCTGACTTCCGGGTTGGCGCGATCCGGGAATGGCGGATTCCCTCCGAGCTCCGGAGGGAATCGGCTCAGCGGTGGATGGGTCTTTGCCGTGCCGGCGACACGGGGACCCTTAAAAACCGCAGGTGCAGATGCCTGCGGACTGAAGACTCGGCGGGTGCCTTAAGCGCCCCCCCTGATTCGCGAAGAGCCTTTTTAAAGGCTATGGAGGGGATACGGGGGACGGCGCGGCACTGAGAGTCGATCGCTACCGCCGCTGAGCGAAGCCGCGAGCCATAACCGGAGAGCGCTGACTTCCTTCCTTGAAATTTGGATTGAAAAAAGAACCCGTGAGTAATTTGGAACTGAGCTTTAAAAACCTTTACCTTTTGAATTTGAGACGACCGGGGGGTGTGCCAAAAGGAAGTCCCCATCCCCTCCCCTTGCAGACGATCCAGAGCAACGATATAAGAGCTAAGCTGGAGTGCCCACCCTGTAAAGGGTGAGTTTTAAAAAAGACAGTAACTTCCAAGATTTGGAAAAGCAAATTTAAGCAGGAGAGTGGAGTGTTGGAAGAGTTTTTGTTTTGTGGTAAACAACCCTCCCTCCCGAGCCCGGGAGCGATCTGCTTTGGAGCCTGTATAGAGGAGCAGAATTTGACAGCTGTCAAAGCTGTCAAATGGACTGTTAATACTGAAAAAATTGCTACTTAAGACCTCTCCGGATAAAAAGGAGTTACAATTGAACAAAAATTTTGGGAAACAAAGAAACAATAATAGGACAGAGGATTGTTGGAGAAAAGACCATCCAGTAACCAGATTCCCTCTAGGGGGAATTCTGTGGAATTACAATGGCTGTGGGTGGAAAGTTACTGAGAGAAATCGAAAGGATGTTTTCACTGGTGGGAACCTTACAGGAGCAGACTACAGCTATGAGTAAACAATTGACGGCCTTGGATTTGGAAACAAGTAGCTCTGCTGAATGTAATGAGGACTTGAATGAGAAAGAACCCACAGCTGAATTTGAAATAATAAACAAAGAAGAGGAGAAGACAAAACAAGAAAGAGAACAAGTTATGTGGGAAAATACTAACCAGAAGCCGATATTTGGAGAATACAAACAAGGAGACCATTGGATGGAATCTATTCCAAGCCTACGAAAGATACAGAAGATGAAAGTGGAGGCCCTGGGAGTTTATGGAACTCAGGAACTCGAAATAAAGAAGTACAATTGGGGCCTCCACATAGACTTTGATTTTGACCATCACCAAGACTCAGGCCTTGTGGAAATTCCTCAGCAGTTGCTTATAAATATGGGAAGAGACTATGGACCGATTGGATTGAATGTTAATGAAATCTTTCGAGACTCGATGACTGACAAAGAGGACTACCAACAAAACCGGAGGAGAGGGACTGAAATAGATTTGAGAGCCTCGGATGTGCGGAATCCAGGCTAAAAACTGTTATTTTGGACATGTCTTGGGAAAGGACGCAAAGCGGGGATGGGAGGGAGGGAAGCATAAACTTAAATAACACTCAAGACCAGGGGTTTAGTAATAAGGAATTACTCAAGAAAAAATGAGAAATCGAGGGAAGAGAATTGGGGTCCAACTTAGGGAAAACTTATTTTTTGTTTCTATAAAAGGACTAATATTAAGAAGGAAGAAATGCTAACTTGCTGACATAAACTTGGGAACAGGGATGCAAGGGAGGGGGTGGGGGAAGTCAAGGACTAGGGTTAGAAAATAAGATTTTTTGGAACTATTCATGTTTGCTGTTGTTTTTTTTTATGTTTGTTTTGGTGTTATGTGTTTTGTTTTTGTCTATATAAAATGTGAAAACCCAATAAAAATTATTATAAAAAAAAAAAAAAGAAAAAGCACCTGCTACCCAACAGGCAGGGATGCGGGTGGCGCTGTGGGTTAAACCACAGCCGACTTGCCGATCAGAAGGCCAGCGGTTCGAATCCCCGCGACGGGGTGAGCTCCCGTTGCTCGGTCCCTGCTCCTGTCCACCTAGCAGTTCGAAAGCACGTCAAAGTGCAAGTAGATAAATAGGTACCGCTCCGGCGGGAAGGTCTGCACTGCTCTGACTTGCCAGAAGCGGCTTAGTCATGCTGGCCACATGACCCGGAAGCTGTCTGCGGACAAATGCCGGCTCCCTTGGCCAATAGAGAGAGATGAGTACCGCAACCCCAGAGTCGGTCACGACTGGATCTAATGGTCAGGGGTCCCTTTACCTTTACCCAACAGGCTAGTCACTAAATCAAACATGCAAGCATGGGTGATTGGGTTTATGCCTGCCAGAGAATGAGGTTCGAAGCGCATGTGCTCTCATTTTGGAAAAGACTCACTGCAAATAAATCTTTCTTAGAGCAGAAAGATTCCAACTCAGCCCTGTCCCTGCTATGTTCCACATTGAATTCCAGGGAGTTCTTAGCAGAGGAATAACAAAGATGATACCGCCCCCCGGAGCCTAAAGTGGTACAGTCCATTCCTCCACATCAGTCTGCCGCGTGAAAAGGACCAGATCTAAGCCAAGTTGTCTAACCAGGATATAATATTTCCTTCCGCTATTTCGCCCCCCCCCCGTATTCTCCCCCAACCATCATAAATCTTTGGTCCGACCCTGGGAAACTGCTTGTGCGCTTGCGGCCAAGGGATCACCACGCAAAAGCCGCAGCTCTAAGCATGACTCTGCATAACTGGCCAACCTGAGGCGCCCTCCATCCCACCGCTGCCTGTCAGTTCATTAAGGCCAGCCACTGAGTATGATTAAGTGCTTTGTCACAAGCCTGGAGTTCTCTTAAAACAGCCATATTCTCATGCAGTGCTAGCCAGAAGTGATTTTAATTCGGGAGAAGGGAGGGGAAAAGGGAATAAAACCTTTTGAAAAGCATTGGAAGAGCTCCACCTGGTGCCTGAAAATTTTGAACAGGGTACACAACATTCAATTTCACAGGTTTATTCTATATGCACCAACTTATTTCTGAGGAGCTACAGCAATTTCATATCATCCTCGATTAGATCTTTACTGCACAAGGAATAGTCTGCACTGATACAAGTATATAATTAATGCCTTAAAAAAGTTGTCTTTTTTGCCTACTCGTTTAAGAAGGCTCTCTTGTCTCTCCTTGCTATTCTTTGGAAATCTGCGTTCAATTTCCTGCATCTTTCACGATCTCCCTCGCACTTTGCTTGCCTTCTCTCCCTCGCTATTTGTAAGGCCTCGCTGGACAGCCACATTGCTTTCTTGCATTTCCTTTTCATTGGGATGGTTTTCGTTGCTGCCTCCTGTATAATGTTGCGAGCCTCCATCCACTGTTCTTCAGGCACTCTGTCCACCAAATCTGAATCTTTAAATCCGTTTCTTGCTTCCACTGCGTATTCATAAGGGATCTGATTTAGATTGTATCTCACTGGCCCAGTGGTTTTCCCTGCTTTCAGTTTAAGCTTGAATTTTGCTATAAGAAGCTGATGATCTGAGCCACAGTCAGCTCCAGGTCTTGTTTTTGCTGACTCTATAGAGCTTCTCCATCTTTGGCTGCAGAGAATATAATCAATCTGATCTCGATGCTGCCCATCTGCTGATTTCCATGTGTAGAGTCGTCTCCTGTGTTGTTCGAAAAGAGTGTTTGTGATGACCAGCTTGTTCTCTTGGCAGAACTCTATTAGCCTTTGCCCTGCTTCGTCTCGGACTCCAAGGCCGAACTTGCCAGTTGTTCCTTTTATCTCTTGATTCCCTACTTTAGCATTCCAATCCCCCATAATGAGAAGAACATCCTTCTTTGGTGTCAGTTTTAGAAGGCATTGTAAGTCTTCATAGAATTGGTCAATTTCGGATTCTTCGGCATCGGTAGCTGGTGCATAAACTTGGATTACTGTGGTGTGGAAAGGTCTGCCTTGGAATCGTATCGAGATCATTCTATCATTTTTCAGATTGTATCCGAGTATCAATCTCGCCACTCTTTTGTTGACTATGAGGGCCACTCCATTTATTCTATGGGATTCTTGACCACAGTAGTAGATATGATAGTCATCCGAACTGAATTCGCCCACTCCGGTCCATTTTAGTTCACTGATGCCCAAGATGTCAATATTTATTCTTGCCATCTCCCGTTTGACCACATCCAGCTTACTATGGTCCATGGATCTTACATTCCAGGTGCCTATGCAATATTTTCCTTTAAGGCGTTCGGCTTTCTTTTCATTTCCAGGCACACCCACAACTGAGTGTCCTTTTGGCTTTGTCCCACCTGCTTTATCAGCTCTGGATCTACTTGTCCTTGTCCTCCGCCCGTCCTTAGTAGCATGTTGGACGCCTTCCGACCTGAGGGGCTCATCTTCTAACGTCATGACTTTTATATGCCTGATGTTATTGTCCATGGAATCTTCTTGGCAGAGATACTGGAGGGGGTTGCTGGTTACTTCTCCAACCAGAGATCTGTTCAAGAAAATTGAAAATATGAAAGGGATGTTTCACGCAAAGGTGGATATGATAAAGGACAAAAGTGGTAAGGACCAACAGAAGCAGAAGACATCAAGAAGAGGTGGTAAGAATACACAGAGGGATTATACCAAAAAGATACGGATGTCCCAGACACCCCAGATTGTATGGCTGTTGACCTTGAGCCTGAAATCCTGCAGAGTGAAGTCAAATGTGCCTTAGAAAGCACTGCAAATAACAAGGCCAGTGGAAGTGATGACATTCCAGCTAAACTATTTAAAATCTTAAAAGATGATGCTGTTAAGGTGCTACATTCAATATGCCAGAAGGTTTGGAAAACTCAGCAGTGGCCAGAGGATTGGAGAAGATCAGTCTACATCCCAATCCCAAAAAAGGGCAGTGCCAAAGATTGCTCCAACTACCGCACAATTGCACTCATTTCACACGCTAGCAAGGTTATGCTTAAAATTCTACAAGGAAGGCTCAAGCAGTATGTGGACCGAGAACTCCCAGAAGTGCAAGCTGGATTTAGAAGAGGCAGAGGAACCAGAGACCAAATTGCAAACATGCGCTGGATTATAGAGAAAGCTAGAGAATTCCAGAAAAACATCTACTTCTGCTTCATTGACTACGCAAAAGCATTTGACTGTGTCGACCACAGCAAACTATGGCAAGTTCTTAAAGAAATAGGAGTGCCTGACCACCTCATCTGTCTCCTGAGAAATCTCTATATGAGACATGAAGCAACAGTTAGAACTGGATATGGAACAACTAAAAGTGAGAAGGAATTAAATAACCTCTTAATGAGGGTGAAAGAGGAGCGCAAAATATGGTCTGAAGCTCAACATCAAAAAAACTAAGATCATGGCCACTGGTCCCATCACCTCCTGGCAAACAGAAGGGGAAGAAATGAAGGCAGTGACAGATTTTACCTTCTTGGGCTCCATGATCACGGCAGATGGTGACAGCAGTCACGAAATCAAAAGACGCCTGCTTCTTGGGAGAAAACAATGACAAACCTAGACAGCATCTTAAAAAGCAGAGACATCACCTTGCCAACAAAGGTCCGTATCGTTAAAGCAATGGTTTTCCCAGTAGTGATGTATGGAGCTGGACCATAAAGAAGGCTGATCGCCGAAGAATTGATGTTTTTGAATTGTGGTGCTGGAGGAGACTCTGAGAGTCCCATGGACTGCAAGAAGATCAAACGTATCCATTCATAAGGAATTCATCTCTGAGTGCTCACTAGAAGGGCAGATCCTGAAGCTGAGGCAGCAGTACTTTGGCCACCTCATGAGAAGAGAAGACTCCCTGGAAAAGACCCTGATGCTGGGAAAGATGGAGGGCACAAGGAGAAGGGGACAACAGAGGACGAGATGGTTGGACAGTGTTCTCGAAGCTACCAGCATGAGTTTGACCAAACTGCGGGAGGCAGTGGAAGACCAAGAGTGCCAGGCGTTCTCAGGTCCAGGGGGTCACGAAGAGTCGGACACAACAGACTAAACAACAACAAAAGCTGTCTGGCAGCCCTGACTTTTCATTGTTAGAAAGCTTTTTTAAAAAGGGACTGAAGAACAAATGGCGGGAACAGAGAAAAGTCACTGTATGCGAAGACCTGTTTCCAGGAGCAGCATTGTTCGTGAGCAATAACATTCTTAAAAAAAATATGGGTAAAATGGCTTTCACATTTTCCCTTACTAATGAGATTTGGAGTTGGGATTATTGTGGTTTACCTTTGGTATTTAATATTTTCGCAATCATTATCACAAATAAATTAGGGTGCTGTAAGATTCTGCTTCAGTTTGCATGCTACCGTAATGCATACATAGCCGCCCCTAGTGCAAGCAAGCAACCAATATCCCTAGCTTAGCATTATGTCCAAACCAGGGATTGTTGTTTCACTCAGGCAAATCTAGGTAAAGGTAAAGGTACCCCTGCCCGTACGGGCCAGTCTTGACAGACTCTAGGGTTGTGCGCTCATCTCACTCAAGAGGCCGGGAGCCAGCGCTGTCCGCAGACACTTCCGGGTCACGTGGCCAGCGTGACAAGCGGCATCTGGCGAGCCAGAGCCGCACACGGAAACACCGTTTACCTTCCCGCTAGTAAGCGGTCCCTATTTATCTACTTGCACCCGGGAGTGCTTTCGAACTGCTAGGTTGGCAGGCGCTGGGACCGAGCGACGGGAGCGCACCCCGCCGCGGGGATTCGAACCGCCGACCTTTCGATCGGCAAGCCCTAGGCGCTGAGGCTTTTACCCACAGCGCCACCCGCGTCTGGAGCAAAACAAACTGTGGTTCCTGGTTCAAACATAATGCTCAGCCAGGGATCGTGGGGTGAGCCATCTGCATGTTTTTACTAAGCCATTCCAGAAACATTTAAAATAAAGAAAATTCCTGATGCCCTGAAGCTTAGCAGATTTGAATCGTGCTGAATTAGTCTGGTTTTAATTTATGCACTTCGCCCAGTGTATGTGTGCTGTATAAAAGTAAAGGTAAAGGACTCCTGGACGGTTAAGTCCAGTCAAAAGCGAATATGGGGGTGCAGCACTCATCTCGTTTTCAGGCTGAGGAAGTCGGCGTTTGTCCACAGACAGCTTTTCTGGGTCATACGGCCAGCATGACCAAACCGCTTCTGGTGCAACGGGACACCATGACAAGTGCCAAGTGCACGGAAACACCATTTACTTTCCCGCCACAGTGGTACCTATTTATCTACTTGCACTGGTGTGCTTTAGAATTGCTAGGTTGGCAGAAGCTCACTCTTTCCCTTGGATTCGAACCACAACCTTCAGATTGGCAAGACCAAGAGGCTCAATGGTTTAGACCAGGGGTTGTCAACCTGGTCCCCTACTGCCCACTAGTGGGTGTTTCAGGATTCTAGGAGGGCGGGTAGGGGTTCTATTGCACAAGCTAATCCTTCCATCAATCACTGGTGGGCGGTAGGATTTTTTACCAAAAAGAAAGATGCAATAGTGGGGAGTAGGTATGCAACAGAAACTTAAATCACGTAACTGGCCATTATGACACGCTTTGTACCTATTTTGATGTTACTAATTGGTCCGCTACCTCTCTCGCCCAACCTCGCCACTGTGATCCATGCGACGGTCACCTCCAGGCTTTATTACTATAACTCACTCTATGTGGGGCTGCCCTTGAAACTGACCCAGAAACTCCAGCGGGTGAAGAATACTGTGGCGAGAATCCTTATGGGGTCCTCGCCGTGGGATCACATTCACCCAGTGCTATACCAGCTGCACTGGCTTCTGGTGGAGTACAGGATCAGGTTTAAGGTGCTGGTTTTAACCTTTAAAGCCCTATGCAGCCTAGGACCCTCGTACCTATGGGACCACCTCTCCTGGTATGCCCCACAGAGGACCCTACAGTCTGCAAATAACAACATCCTAAAGATTCTGGGCCCCTGAGAGATCAGACTGGCCTCAACCAGAGCCAGGGCCTTTTCGGCTGTGGCCCCGGCCTGGTGGAACGTGAGGAAGAGACTATGGCCTTGCGGGATTTGACATCTTTCCGCGGGGCCTGCAAGACGGAGCTGTTATGCCAGGCCTTTGGGTCAGGGTTCAGTCTGACTCATTTTCTCCTTGTATAAGAACAAGAATGAAGGAGGTTCCCAGCCCACTCACAGGTGCTCATAATGTCAGTGGAAACAGTTGGTAACTGCCCTCAATTTTAACCTGAAGATTGGAACTTGTCCAGTTTTAATTTTAATTTGTTTGAATTGTGGGATGTATCTTAATTTATTGATCGCTTGTTTTATGCATTGTCTTACTTGTATGTTAGCCGCTCTGAGCCCAGCTTTGGCTGGGGAGGGCGGGGTATAAATATAAAAATTATTATTATTATTATTATTATTATTATTATTATTATTATTATGCAGCAAGGTGGGAAGCCCTTTGTACAATGAAACTTTCCCCTCTCCCCCTGAAATTGTGTGTGCGCGCACATGGCAAAGGGGAATAGATCTGTCTGAAAAGCTAGAATGCTTGTGCAGATGTAACATTTATAATAGCACAATTCCACCTGATGTAGTTTCAGAAATAGAAAAATGTTGCATCCACATCACTGATTACTGCTGATGCTGTATATGGCTGTCCAGGACAAGAGAGTTCTTAAAGTTTTTGGGTGTCATTACATAGTTACACTAGCACAATGGGATTCCCCACCCCCTTATGCAATCTCCAAATCTGCTTTGGAGAGTTGGGGAACCCCCAGAAAAAGGGGGGCGATAAGGAGAGAGAAATCACTCTGTTGCTTAATGCTACATTGAATACAAACCTGTAAATGACAGCAAACTGAGCCCTACCTTGCCTTTTGTTTGTCGAAAGACTTAATGTGGTTGTACCAGCGGAGGGCATGGAACAGCTCAGGAGGAGGGGGTGCACCAACTGCTTCAAAAACTGCAATATCTGCTTGGGATGGGACATACCTACAGAAAACATGTTCAGGTTAAAATTTGTTTCATTCAGCAAAACGAAAAGCACCACACATATAAAGTGAAATCCATCTCAGCAAGACACTCAGATGTCTCCCAAATAAGCAGTTTGTAGCCCCTTTGTGCAAACTACAAATAAACCAGGAAGGTTCTTATTAGCTATAATTTCCTGTTCACCTGAACCAATAAATTATGGGTACCAGATCAGCTTCAGAACAAGCCAGCTTCCAGCAACATAAGAGACCAACTTCAAACTTTCATATCATGGATTGTTCCAGAACTGATACCCGCCACTTTCTCAGTTTGAACAAAATGGTTAACTATGGTTATTTAACCATATCCATTACTTCTGGGTTAGAGTCTTAATACTCTACCGCCCAAGAACCACAACCAAAGCTCATACAGAATCTGCAATAATCAAGGCCCAAGTCATTTCCCAGTAGGCCCAACACATCTAGCACTGATGTATGTTTTAAATGACGTAAAGTCTCACTTTTGGGCATTATGGCAGGTTGCAAATCCCACGATCCACACACAAAGATTGCCATGTGGTCTTGGAACAAGTTACTTTAAGCTTACATATTCTCACATGTACTCTTCCAACCCATCTTTGTCTTTTTCTCCCATTTACTTTTCTAACCCATCCTTGTATTTTTATTCCCCCCCCCCCAAGGCAGAACCAGAATAGCTTTCTCCCAAAACCACCCAGCTTCTATCCCCAATAATGGCCAAATGTGTTAGTAAAGGGCACGTGGTAACGGCTTGGAAAGAGCATTGCAAATCAGACGGTTGCTGGTTCAAATGCCCCATAAACCATCAATTCGTTAGGCAAGCGGCTCTCTCCCAGAGCCCAAAATCTGCAACAGAATAATTTATGGGACTAGAGAGCAGAAGGCAGGGGGTCAAGAGATAGTGCAAGGCCTCGCTGCCTATCTTTAAGGGGAGAAAGACCAGCTTGCACCCTGCACCACCCAAAGGAACAGGAACCAGCAGCTATTCATATATAAATTCATTGTTAAAAGGCGGCTGCTTTGGGGCCTTTTGTGCCTGCAGGCATACGACAGAGCCCCCCTCTCTTCTCTTTTTAACTAATGTGGGCCTCTGTGGGAGACAAGCCTGACCTGAAAAGCAAATACCACTCCTAGGACTGGTATTCGTAACCACGATTTGCCTTATGATGACGCTTGCCCCCCCCCAGAAAGTAGGAAGACTAGAGGCTAAGCTTTATCGACTACTTTAAAATGAGGCTGCATTTTAAACTGAATTTTAACCTGTATTTCAAATTGGTCCCTCTTTCCCCGTATTATGCTTTTACTGTGATTTTATTGGTGTTAGCCGCCCTGAGCCCGGCTCTGGCCGGGGAATAAATAAAAATTGCTATTATTATTATACTTTAAAATGCCTCAGAATAACGTGTCTCCAGTTGTAGGGTGTTAAAAGAGAGACACCTACGACCACCTATAGCTCCTTTCTCGCGCGCGCGCGCGCAAAGCACAGCATGGTTTCCAAAAGAGACTTGCCAAGTTCCTAGTCCTCATTCAAATCGCCCTCTTCCTGCAGCAACGTGGCGCCTACGCGGTTAGAAGCGAAGGCCAATGAATGGGAAAAGCGGGACCTACTACTGGCGTTTAAAAGGGATACGGAAACCGTATATATTTCGGGGTGCGCGGCTCACCCCTCGATGTAGCTCCTGCTGGCTAGGAAGGCGTTGAGAAGCTGGAGCCCCGAGGCAGATTTCAGGTCCCCAAAGCCCATGATGGCGCCGAAGTTTCAGGAGCGGGAGGCGGGGAAGAGACCGGCTGCGCGCGCACAACAGCCACCACAACGGCCGTCGGAGAAAGAGGGCGGCGCTCGGCCTCTGCCGCACTTATATATACGCACGCACGCAGATCCCTCCGCCATGCGGTCTGATTTCCGCCGACGTGTCCTTCCGCCGCTAAAGGGCGGAACAACGGCCACGCCCCCGCCCCGCCGTTTTTGAAAGTTGCCGATTTATGACAGGAGGAGGAGGGATCAGCTCTTACGTCAATCAAGGAAGGGGCGGTGCTTCTCCCCGTTTGTTTCTAACCATCCGGCCCCGCCCCTCCGCAGGTTTTCAAAGCCGGAAGCTACGCTGGGAAGAGGCGGATCATCGCTCACATCAATCAAGGAAGGGGGGGTACTTCTCCCCTTTTGTTTCTAACGGATCGGCCCCGCCCCCCGCAGGTTTTAAAAGCCGGAAGCTACGATAGAGGAGGCGGATCAGCTCTCACGTCAATCAAGGAGGGAAATCAAGGGTTGGTTCGCCTCGTTTGTTTTCAATCGACGGCGGAACTGGCGTGCGTCCTCTCCGAATGTTGCCGAGCGCGTCGCGGAAATCGCCGAGGGCCCGCCGCCATCTTGAGTGCTGAGGAGAGCGCTTGTGAGGAGGCTGCGGCGGAGGAGGCGTCCTGGGTCGTTAAGGCCGGACCGGGTTCCCGCCCGCCTCCCACACCGGGCCAAAGAGAAGGAGGTAACGGGAGCAAGGTCGGACAAAAGGGCCTCCGCGGTGCTTTCCGTCCCGTTTCCCGGACCGAAGGGAGGCGCGTAGGTAGGCCGCTGTCCGCTTCGCCTTCGCGGCGCCCTTGAGCGGGTCGTCGGGCTGGCGGCGCCCGCGGCCGAGACTCCCCTTGCCGGCTTCCTCATCGTCGCGTCGCCCCGTGTGGTAATAAAAGACGGCCGCTCTCTTCCCCACGCCGGGTTCCCTACTGCACTGGAGGCGAGCCGGGCCTCGGGAAGTAGCAGGCAGGTGTCCCGTCGCCCTCGGGGCCGCCCAAAGGTCACCTTTCGTGAGCTGGCAGAGGGTGCGGAGAGGGAGGTGGCCGTAAGCAGGAGCCGGGCATCGCGATGCAGCGGCAGAAATAAGTGAATGTCCAGGTGGCGCAGCGGGTGAGGGCGCCTGGCTGCTTCACCAGGCAGGTGGGTGGTTCGAGCCCACCCAGGGATGGCGCGGGGGGGGGGCAGGATGATTATTTTGCAGTGGGTTGGGCTAGATGACTCCTGGGGACCCCTTTCAACTCTGTTGTTGTTTAGTCATGTCTGACTCTTTGTGACTCCATGGACAGGCACTCCTGCTGGTAGCTTCGAGAACACTGTCCAACCATCTCGTCCTCTGTCGTCCCCTTCTCCTTGTGCCCTCCATCTTTCCCAACATCAGGGTCTTTTCCAGGGAGTCTTCTCTTCTCATGAGGTGGCCAAAGTCTTGGAGCCTCAGCTTCAGGATCTGTCCTTCCAGTGAGCACTCAGGACTGATTTCCTTCAGAATGGATCGGTTTGATCTTCTTGCAGTCCATGGGACTCTCAAGAGTCTCCTCCAGCACCATAATTCAAAAGCATCAATTCTTCGGCGATCAGCCTTCTTTATGGTCCAGCTCTCACTTCCATACATCACTACTGGGAAAACCATAGCTTTAACTATACGAACCTTTGTTGGCAAGGTGATGTCTCTGATTTTTAAGATGCTGTCTAGGTTTGTCATTGCTTTTCCCCAAGAAGCAGGCATCTTTTAATTTCGTGGCTGCTGTCACCAAATACAGTGATCATGGAGCCCAAAAGTAAAATCTGTCACTGCCTCCATTTCTTCCCCTTCTATTTGCCAGGAGGTGGTGGGCCCAGTGGCCATGATCTTTGTTTTTTTGATGTTGAGCTTCAGACCATATTTTGCGCTCTCCTCTTTCACCCTCATTAAAAGGTTCTTTAATTCCTCCTCACTTTCTGCCATCAAGGTTGTGTCATCTGCATATCTGAGGTTGTTGATATTTCTTCCGGCAATCTTCCCATCCCACCCATTCAACTTTACAATTGATAGGTATGCATAACACGGAAAAAAGGACAAGAAAGGGAAAGGGCCTTGGCTAATATGGCACAGAGGAGAGAATCGGGGTTCAATATGACATTTACAGATTGGAGAATTGGGCCTGAACTAAAAAAGGTTCTGCACTTAAGAAGGAATAACCAGATGCACCAGTATAAGAATTTGGGGGGGGCAGGCAGCTGACTTGCCGGTAGTACATTTGAAAAGTCTCTTGGGAGGGTCTTTGGGGACCGCAAGCTTAACTTGAGTCAACAGTGTGATGCAGCAGCAAAAATAAAGGGATGCTGTTCTAGTCTGCATCTGCATAAGCAGAGTGTTCCGATCTAGGTCATAGCATTGCTTGGTCAGACCACACCAGGAGTATTGTGTCCAGTTCTGGGCACCACAGTTTAAGAAGAATTTAGTCAAGCTGGAATGTGTGCAGAGGAGGGCTGCTCAAGGTTATGAAGGTCTGGAAACCAAGCCTTATGAGGGAACAATGGAAGGAGTTGGGTCTGTTTAACCTGGGAAAGAGGTGACAGAGGAGATACGATAGCCATCTTATCTGAAGGACTGTCACATGAAGGAAGGAGTAAGCTTGTTTTCTGCTTCCGCAGAGGGTAGGACCCAAACCAATGGCTTCAAGCTTTAGCTGAGATTTCTGCATTCTGCATTGCAAGACTAGATGACCCTTGGGATCCCTTCCAACTCTAAATTTCTATGAAAAGAGGCCCACCAAGCCCACCTGTTTACAAGAACAGCAGCAGGTGTGATGCTAGCCCTGCTTGCTTGCTTGCTTATGTTGCAATTTTATATGCTTTCCCAGCACGTTTCCCCTTATGGAGAAAGTATAAGAGCATTGCAGGGCATCACTTGACAGCAGTACTACATGTATAGACAGCACAGCTACAAGCTACCCCCTTTTTTATGTTACAGATTTAGTGGCAATGCTTATGGAACTATTTCAGACTCAAAATCTACCTCCTTAGGATTTTTGCCATTTACTCTGGAGTAATTGTCACCATATTCTGCCCCGGGGGGGAGTGTCCACAGTAATTCTAGCATCTTACGATCCTTCTCTGTGTTAGTGTGCAGATTTAGGGACTGAGTGCAAAGGAGCTCCTGCACTTTTAAGAGTTGTGAAGAAGTCTCTTCAACAACCTACACACAATGTATACTGTGTGAAACGTTTATGTACTCTGCTTACCTTTCACATTTTGTACTTGAGGTTTTTTAAATTTTGTAAAAGCTGTAAGCTGGGGTGGGGAAACCTTAGGCCCAGAGGCTGAAGGTTGGGGAACCTTCATGTACAGAGCATGTTCCCTGCTTCAGACCTTCCTTACAATGCTTGGAGGGCAGTAGGAATGTGACAGTAATGTGGGAGTGAACACCTGAATGGAACTTGTGTAATTCTTGCATGTGTGACCATATCTGCAAGTATTCATATGCTTGGGTGTCAGAAATGTTGGGTTATAAATTTAAACTGTTTTTCATTCATTTTAATTTTAACAAGCTCTTGTTTGAACCTTGTTTTAAACTTTAATTTTAATGTCTTATCTCCAGCACCTTCTTTCCAGCACCATGTTGCGACTCCCTGCTGTCCACAAGGCCTTAGCTGGTGCCACTCAGATTACTAAAGGATGTGGTAAGTTGCCTTTATATCCAGTCCATTTATATAGTAACTCTTTCCAGTTTTTGTTGTAATTTTCATTATAGACTCGGTAATTCACAGATAATTCAGATGTCTGAAGTTTAATTATGGACTTAGAATGAAGACAAATTCCATTTTGGGGAAGGAGAATCCATTCTGTTTAATTTGTAAGGCTTTTTTGAAGTCTTAACGAAGTACATACAAACTTGCTGGCGTTTTACTGAATTCTAAAAAAAATTGTCTGCACTGTACTGTATTGTTTTTTAAAGATTTCTATCAAAGTCATTTAGAGGAGAAGTAAAGGCTATAATGAATTGTCATAAAAATAACACATCCTTTTAAAAAAAAATACCTGAAATTAAAAAAAAAGTATGACATGTTTTTAAACACACCTCCTTTTAGAGAAAATACTTCATTTTAACGCTTGGAAGCAGCTTCTTGCTGTATATGAATGTAATGTATCCCCCACGTCCCCCTGGCAAGGAAGGAAGTTTGTTTTGGATTGACTGCAATTTAGCATATCAGTCAGACCCTAAACTGTGACTAATCTTAACAATGGTTGGTTCAAATAAGCAGGCTTTAAAAAATATGAATTGATGTTGGCATATTACAACTAACCATTAAGATTAATCCAATTTGTCCAGGTTGAGATTATATGGCAAGCTCCAGTTAATCCTAAAAGGAAATAAAAACTGAACTCTCATCACAGTGGGGGAGCGCAGAAACCTAGGACCTGCTGCGGCTCATTCTTGTAATGGTAAATTATGGTCTGAACAATCCGTGGTATAAAACACACTCTGCAGATAATTCCATCCTAGGGAATTAAATGTTTTTTCTCTATTTTTGTAAGGCCAGTTTGATAGGTTAAAATTAGTAAAATATTATATTCCAGCACCTAAATGACTGACAACTTAAATTCATATTATGCTTTGGGGTTTTTGGCAGGACAGGCTCCCCACAACTCTCACATGATCAGCATGTGTGCTGAAAAGGGGCGGGGCAGGAGGGGAGGGATGGGATTTGCGTGTGCAACAACAGAACTCCTTGTGTAAGCGGGAATTCCCCTGTATGAGCTTGTGTGTCCTGTTTATCCTTTCAGCAAGTTACTAGTGAATGAATCCAAAATACTTAATCTGACTTCTGAGCAATAAACGATCACTTTTCCCATATTTTATTCCTTTGTCTTTCAGTGCGTGCAACAGCTACAGCAGCCAGCAACCTGATAGAGGTTTTCGTTGATGGGAATTCTGTATTGGTACCTCCAGGAACCACAGTACTACAGGTAGAATAAATTTGGATACACTGTCTCTTTCTGTTCACATTCACATTTTTGTGGCGGTTTATTTGCATCCCCTCCATTACCTGTTGTAATATCTCTTTAAAGCACATTGGACCTTGCTTCTCATGGCTCCATTCCTTTATAGCATTGCAAACCAACTGCAAAGAAAAATAAGTACAGTGGTACCTCAGTTTTCGAACCGTTGATGAACATTTCGGTTTTCAAATGCCTCCGAAGTCGAACATGCCACTATGAGATTTTGACCAGCTTCGGCCCATCTGAAGCTGATACAGGCTCGTCTCATCTTGAGCCCACGCAGAGCAGTCCACACAGCAGAAGGACAAGCAGTATGCGCCACATTCTTAACTTTATTAACACTTCTATGCTGAGAGAATACAAACATGCATCTTGCCTCTGTGAGAGCAGAGAAGCAACCCTCTCTCTAACAAAGAAACCGAGAGAACAGTGAAAAACAGGAAACCAGTGTACGTCACATCCAGTCTCCCATTCCCGTGGGAATCCAACAGTAACTCTGGCTGTGGAATGCAAAACAATGTCTTGTGACTGCAGTTGCTGCTCAGTGAGGGAAATAGAAACCAACAGCCACATGGCTTCTGTATTGAGTCTTCCATATTGAGGCTTCCGTATTGAGTTTTCAGTTTTCGAACGTTTCAGAACTCGAACAGTCTTCCGGAATGGATTACGTTCAAAAACAGAGGTACCACTGTACTTGGATAAAAATAATAGCTTTTCTTTATAAATGAGAGACTGACAGTGCTTTCCTAACATACCTACTTGGAAGTAAGACCTGTTGTGTTTTAATTGTAACCTGCCTTGGGACCTTAAGGTAAAGGGAAGGGTAATAATAATGATAATTAATGATGAGTTCAATGGGACTTTCTCCTAGGTAAATGCTTATAGACTTGCAGCCTGAGTCATATTTGTATGGAACATGCTGAAAAGTTCCTAACATGTACATTGACACTTTTTCTCTTTTGTTTTGTCTTTTCTGTAGGCCTGTGAGAAGGTTGGAATGCAGATCCCTCGATTTTGCTATCATGACAGATTGTCAGTGGCTGGAAATTGTAGGATGTGTCTGGTGGAGATAGAGAAAGCTCCCAAGGTTGCTAATACTTTTATCTTTCATAAATTGTTGTGTTCTAGAAGTGTAAAGAGCCAACAGGACAGTTAATGACAAGTGTAAAGCGCTTAGCAGAACAGCTAATGACAACCTTGCTGGCATCTAAATTACAAGTTGCAATATGTCCACTGCTAGCAGTTGCTTTTTGACATTATTGTGAATGTTGTGTTCACCTACCTAAAGCTGGTGGCATAGTGTGTTTGTGCACGTGCACCACACCCCATAGTCAAAATTGACTGGACTTAACCATCCAGGGGTCCTTTACCATTTTACACACATTTATTTTCATATTTGTAGACATCCTATCAAACACATTGATGATAGCAGAGCATCCGCTTTTGGATTCCATTGAGAAAACAGGGGAGTTAAGCTGTTGGCAGTTAGGGCATTCAGTAGCATCTAGTGCTGGCATGCGCACATGTGTTTTTACCCACTGCAGAGTGGCAACATGCTGCACCCAACCCACCAAACAATGTAATTCCTATACTGTGACTTATGCCATTTTTCCAGAGCTTGAGAACCCTATAGGCTTGCAGCTCTACCTACCTTGTGTATCTGGTGCCTGAGAATTTAATCTCTCAGCACTCAGTGTTGAAAAAATACAGGCAAGCAGCTGGACTAGAACATTTAAGGTTAATATGTTCTTTACTTGACTGTCTCTTGAAAGCCTTTCCTTGTTCCGGCAGTCCATGTGATCGGCAAAAACATCTAAATATTTCTATGGTATATGTTCATAAATGCTTGCAGTGTTTGCATGTCCAGCCCTTGGAGGAAGGAATAGCTGTTTTCCTGCAAAGGTCAGTCAGATGTTTCTGGGAAAGACCAGAAGGAGAGCATGAAAGATAGCTCAGTCAGTTGTGGGTTTGAGCCCCACGTTGGGCAAAAGATTCTTGCATTGCAGGGGACCGAACTAAATGGCCCTCATGGTCCCTTCCAACTCTGAAATTCTATGATTCCATGATAAGGCAATTGTCATCTCATGCTGTTACCTTCCACCTTCCCCCATAAACTGTTATTCAGTAGTAAATTGCATCTTAAAATGGAGGGTCCATGGAATCACAATGGCTGTTAGCTTCTGATAAATCCTACTGACCATGAATTGAGTCAGATTTTAAAGCCCTCTAAGCTGCTGGCCGTGACTACATTAATTTATGTATTACGTGAATGTTACTTCCTTATTTTTACTTTGAACTTAAGCCTTGGTGTTGATTTTTATCAATAAGTTTATTATGAAACCAAGGCAAAACAGTTGAGGCATTTTTTTTCTTTTTAAATATTTTTTTATTCAAAGTTATAACAATACATATTATCCAAAAACATATCCTTATTCCCCCCCCATTTTTCCTCCCCCCCCCCAACTTCCCTCAGTTCCAGTCTTTGGTTTCTCCAATAATGCTGTTTCCTGCATTTTACAACAGTTGAGGCATTTAATTGAGAATACCCTGCCACTATGTGAGCATCCATGTATACAAAATTGTTATTGATGTAGCTTTCTTATGCGTTTGTAGCCAGTAGCTGCTTGTGCCATGCCAGTAATGAAGGGTTGGAACATTCTGACAAATTCTGAGAAGTCTAGGAAAGCAAGGTAAGCTCCATCCGATTGTGTGCAAATTGCAATGTATGCTACTCAGAACTGAGATCAGTGTGACTTATTGCCAAGTAATTGTGCAGCAGGGTGCATCTTTAGTCTTCAACATTACAACAGTAAGCTGGGCATGTTTTGTTTTTTTAAGACTCATTTTTAAGAGAAATGTTAATGCTTGAACACACTTTCAAAGGAGGACATAATTATTAATAGTGTGCTGTATTAAAATAAATGAATTCATGTATTACTAGTCTACAAAGTGTTTTTAAAGGTAAAGGTACCCCTGCCCGTACGGGCCAGTCTTGACAGACTCTAGGGTTGTGCGCCCATCTCACTCCAGGGGCCAGCGCTGTCCGGAGACACTTCCAGGTCACGTGGACAGCGTGACATCGCTGCTCTGGCGAGCCAGAGCCGCACACAGAAACGCCGTTTACCTTCCCGCTAGTAAGCGGTCCCTATTTATCTACTTGCACCCGGGGGTGCTTTCGAACTGCTAGGTTGGCAGGCGCTGGGACTGAACAATGGGAGCGCACCCCACCGCGGGGATTCGAACCGCCGACCTTTCGATCGGCAAGCCCTAGGCGCTGAGGCTTTTACCCACAGCGCCACCCGCGTAAAAGTGTTTTTAGCATACATTAAATGCTAAATAAATATGGTGGTTTCTCTTTTACTGACTTCCAACAGAGAAGGCGTAATGGAGTTCTTGTTGGCAAACCATCCACTGGACTGCCCCATCTGTGATCAGGGAGGCGAATGTGACCTTCAGGTATAGCGTCTTGGATTTTTAAAATGGCCTTTGGGGTAAAACTTTGCTTCTCAGTCACATATGTTCATTTATTTGGGTTTATTTGTCTTTAGGACCAGTCAATGATGTTTGGCAGTGATAGGAGCAGATTCCTAGAAGGCAAACGTGCAGTGGAAGACAAGAACCTCGGCCCACTAGTGAAAACTATCATGACCCGGTGCATACAATGTACTCGATGCATTAGGTAACTGCTACCCTGTTTTGTACACAAACAGCGTGTATGCATAGTTATTTATCGGGGACATTCATCAGCCCGTTGCTTGTGTTCAGTTGCTTATGAAAGATCATTCTTTAGTTCTATTCCACTGCTGAATTCTCTCTGGAAGCACCGAAGGAGTCCACACATTTTTCACATGAGCAGCTGACTATTGCATAATGTAAAATCAGGTGGGCACAAACAAGGATCTGGAATAAAAATGTACTTGTGTGAAAATCTGTCATTTTAGCTTTGTGTCGGGTCACTTGTTAGAAATAGGATACCTGGCTGCTGTAACAAAGTGCGCTACGGAGTGCTCCCTGTTTGGATTCCAGACACTTCATTCCCTCTTCTCTACCCCCCCCCACAGTATTCTGTTTTATCTCCCAGTAGTCAGTTACCCACTTAGCATGCTCAGTCTTCATTGGGTTGTTGTAGAGGAACAGGAGTGCCTGAGCTGTTTGTGGAAGCACCATAAGGCTAAGATAAATTAATGTGGAGAGATTTTAATGTGGTACAGTGACTTACACTGAACGGAAACTTAGTAGACTTCATAGTTCCTTTTAAGTTTTACTTTCCCTGAACCTGTGAGTTGAGGCAGGTCAGATAGCTAGGTGTGGGTTGCGTTATAATAAACACTTTACAGGGGCTAGAGCTGCAGAAAATTACTTGTACATGTGAGGCTAGAAATGCTTTTCATTCATCTGAACAATTGCTAGTTCAGAAGTGCTCAGTTATAAATCCTTCTTTTTGATTGTTTCTTTAAAAGATTTTTTTTCTTGGAAAGACAAACTGACATTTCATGTTTTGCTGTGTTTTCTTTTTGCTTTCATTTGTCAGGTTTGCAAGTGAGATTGCAGGAGTTGATGATCTAGGAACCACAGGAAGAGGAAATGAGATGCAAGTTGGCACTTATATTGAGAAAATGTTCATGTCAGAGTTATCCGGCAATGTGATTGATATCTGCCCAGTAGGTGCCCTTACCTCCAAGCCGTATGCTTTTACATCTCGACCCTGGGAGACAAGGCATGTGTCTTTACTGGCACTTGAAGTGTCACTTTAAAATATAATTCTTTTATTGTGCTATATGTTAAGTGTCAAATATTCAGATTAATTCAGACATGGGAATGTAGCTTTTCCCCATGGCTTTTGGACTGGATTTGTAACCTTGAACCTTTTGAAGCTCCTATAAATCCTAATAATACAAAAGCTAATATAAATAAAATTTATCATGGTTCAGGAATGTGTCCATAGAGCACATTCATTGGTGGTGTGTTCTACAGCAACATCTGTTGACCTGGGATAACTTGCCCATAATAAGCATTTCCACCAATTTTGGAAAAATCTGGTCTCTTTCAGAACCATGTAGCTTCTGCTTCATGTCAGATGGTGGCACCAGCAACAGTGCTCTGTTACTCCAGTTCAGCCATTCTTGAAGCAAAATTGCTTGCCACAGGGAACCAGGCAGTGGGTCATGCCTGCCTTCCTTGTGGAACGTCCACCCATCAGATGTCAAAGAGATAAATAAATATACGACCTTTTGTAGATGTCTGAAGGCAGCCCTGTATCACGACACTTAATGCCTGATGTTCTGTTGTGATGTTTCTGTACATGCTGTTGGAAGCTGCCCAGAGTGACTGGGACAACCCAGTCAGATGGGTGGGGTACAAAAAATTGCTGCTGCTGCTGGCATGGGCTGTTCAGGATGCAGAACTGAGAAAGGAAGGGTGAGGAAGGAATGGTAGTAATGAGATAGTAGTAGTCCTTTACAGGCTGAATTTATATTAAGTGCTGGTAGTTGCTGACTTCTGATTTGCAATATATTATGGGAGGTTAGTCATGCTTGTCGTCTATGATTAGAGTTCTTAGAAACTTGGGAGCATTTGGGAATGTTTAGTGCGAGGTCTGTTTTCCAGATAACAGCATCCAGATAAGTTTTGCAATTGAAGGACTCTGTTCTTTTCGCTTAGGAAGACAGAATCCATTGATGTTCTTGATGCAGTAGGGAGTAACATTGTGGTAAGCACTCGAACTGGAGAAGTGATGAGGATTTTGCCAAGACTACATGAAGATATCAATGAGGAATGGATATCCGATAAAACAAGGTATGCTTTAACATGTATGTAAAACATGATATTCTCAGAAGAGAATTTTAGTACAAAAATATACAGTTACCACACTTTCTTCATTCCATTTTGAAGATTTAGGAACAGTTCAAGAATTACTTGCAAATGGATGTTGATCAGTTTCTGTTGCAGCACACACACAAAAAAAATCACTGCTATCTCCTCTGGAAATTTTTGGGGCTTAGCTGTGCATATTCTTCAATAGGATTATGCCTAATATGTTTGTATTTTTCTAATTTTAAAATTGTAGATTTTTAAAACTTTCTTTGGCCATTTCCACTTAAGAAGGTCTGGTTATGAACAAAACACTTAAGTATATGTGCCATAGAAAATGACAAAGTAATTCAAACTTTCTGAAAAGGTGGTATGCTGATAGGTCTCTGTTAATGAAGTAGCTGCTGATAGCTGGGTTGTTCCTTCAGCAGTTGCTTCATCATTATCTTGATCTTCACTCCAGATTTGCTTATGATGGTTTGAAACGTCAGCGTCTTATTGAGCCAATGATAAAGAATGAAGAAGGGCTGTTCACTTACGTGTCTTGGGAAGAGGCCTTGAGCCGTGTGGCAGGAGTGGTAAGAAAATATTGTTTCTTACAGTGTACTCTTGACTAAGGTGTACTAAGGTGCTTGACCGACTACTTTCACAGTAGTACTGAACCTAATGAAATCACTACTAATGACTACACTGCAATCATTAACTAAAGTTCTTATAATTTGGGGGAGTGAAATTTGAACTTAAGCCATGCTTTCTTCACTTTAGAATTCAGGGGTTAATTGCATTACACATCTTGTAATTTTAAGGTGTAGCTCAGGAACTTGTTTTGCATTGTGGACTCTGAAGAGCCATATTATATCTTGAACGCCACTTTTACATATCAGGATAGTTTTGCTTCCTCCTCTGCAATCTTGTGAATATTTAAAAGAATAAGCAATGCGTCCCACCTGCATTTTATTTGGGGGGGTTAGAGGAAATTGGCTTACCGTTCTCTATTTTTCTAGTTGTCGAAGATGAAAGCTTTTCCACTATTGTTTTTTTGTTGTTTTTTTTTTACAAGACATACCAAATTTGCTGCTAAAATTTTAATATAATATCTCGTATCATCTTCTGTTTCTTCATTTTCAGCTTCAGGGGAGCCAAGGTAATGATATAGCTGCAATTGCAGGAGGACTTGTGGATGCAGAAGCACTTGTATCTCTTAAAGACTTGCTGAATAGAGTAAATTCTGACAACCTGTGTACTGAAGAGGTCTTCCCTACTGCAGGAGCTGGGTAAGTTAATGGTAACAGCTGTACTAAAATCATCAGGGCCCAAGTCATTTTCTGCTTGAGACTAGGACAAGATAGAGCCCAATATCATGTTCAAAAGCTGATTGGACAGGCAGTTGAATCTTTATTTGACATTGATAAGGCTGTGTCTTTTTGAGGGCAGCAGGCTAGCTTAGAGGGTACCGGCTGGGCTGTCGTCCTTGCTGCCACTTCCCAGCCTTTGGCATATGAGGTGGGTGCCTCATTCTTAATGGTAGGGCTGGCCCTGAAAAGCATATCATCAAATTTAAATAAATAAATAAATAAATAAATAAATAAATAAATAAATAAATAAATAAAATTTATACCCTACCCATCTGGCTGGGTTTCCCCAGCCACTCAGGGCGGCTCCCAACAGAATTAAAAGCACAATAAAACATCAAACATTAAAAACTTCCATAAACAGGGCTGCCTTCAGATGTCGGATCAGCCTGTGAGTTGTCAATTTTGACATATCAGAACTGTATATATTAAGAGGACCACATAAGTTTTAGTAGAGGCAGGTATAAAGTAAGCATAGAGCCATTTTCACAGAAGAAAGTGAAAATGCTCATATCACCCTATTAGTTTATTTTAATGCACAGTGGAATCCAGGACCAGGATTTGGATTTATTATTTTGAGATCTAGTATTTTTTATGAAATAAAGTATTCTTAACAGAGGTATTTCAGAGTCCTTCCCATTGGAATACCCCAGTCATATTTTCCTTTTTGTGTGTATTCTGTTACAGAACAGACCTGCGATCTAATTACTTGCTTAATACCAAGATTGCAGGAGTGGAAGAGGCAGATGTCTTGCTCCTGGTTGGTACCAATCCACGCTTTGAGGCACCTCTCTTCAACGCCAGAATCCGAAAGAGGTTTGTAGCTTCATGAAAGTAGCAGATGTTAAATGGCTTGCTCCATGCAAATGAGAAACTGCATCTTGAAAGTGGAATATTGGGTCCTTCTACGTATTAAACTGGGAACTATTTAATTTGGACAATGTCTTGATGGTTGTAGTTATATCACTTGCTGTGCATTGTGCTAATGCAACATACACATTAAGGGACTGTGACTGTTGTGGTTATTGTACTAAGAAAAAGGAGTACTTTCAGAATAAAAAAATGCAAGGGCTCCAAAACTGCATTTCATAAGATCATAGATCTTCAATTCATTAAGCAGTTGATGCAATCTCCTTGCTAGAGTTGTATTCATGCTGCCTAGCAACCTGTCCCTGAAAATCTGGGAAATAGCACAACATTCTCTGATGCAATGGATCAGGAGAGGAGAAAGTCAATTGAATACATTTAAGGTGTTGCATCTGTTTTATGTCTTAAAAATTAGGGCTCCTACTCAGTGCTTTTTTCTAGATACATAGGTACCGGTACTCACCATGAAGTTGTTACAGCAAGGGCCACACTTTTTAACAACAACAAAAAAGAGGTGCCAGTACTGCGTACCCTTGAGAACCCCCTGGAAAAAAGCACTGCTGATACCTGTCTTTGGGTGCAGCGCATCTGTTAAGTTTCAGCAGCTTCTGTACAAGGAACTCTTTGCAAGAATATATTGTGCAAAAATAAAACGACCATGCACTGATTTCTCTGCACATTATAAAACCTTAATAGCATTTTTCGTGCTCCATTTTCAGCTGGCTACACAATGAACTTAAAGTGGCTCTTGTGGGCAGCCCAGTTGACTTGACTTACACATATGATCACCTGGGAGATTCCCCACAGATACTCCTGGACATTGCTTCAGAAAAACACCCATTCAGCAAGGTACCTTTAAAAAAATGCAGTGCTTTGGAGTGGTAGATTATAACCAAGGTATTAAAGGTAGCAAGGTATTAAATTTTGTAAAATGGTGGTGATATTTAGTACTCATGTATGGGTTCATATTTAGTATGCTTTTGAGAGCAGCCTGGTAGAAGGCACTCCACACCATAGAGGCCACTTATTCCTCCAATGGAAATAAAGGACCCAGGACCACCCCCAAGCTTGGATACCTTTGGGGGAGCATGACCCCCCCCAACTAAAACAGATTCCACCTCCCTCATCCAGATAGGGGAACTGCCTACTAACAGTGCATTTGCCAGTGATGCCACATATTTGTTTTTAAAAGCTGTAGTTGGCCTTTTCATTCAGTTTGTTAGCTCTGAGGTTAACGTCCTGCTCTCTTGCAACTTCCACACAGGTCCTGAACCAGGCTAAAAAGCCAATGGTCGTGGTTGGCAGTGCAGCACTTCAGCGTGGTGATGGGGCAGCCATTCATGCAGCCATTTCCACCATTGCACAAAATGCAAGTACAAAAAGTGGAGCTGATCCCAGCTGGAAAGTCATGAACATTCTTCATAGGTTTGCTCAACATGTCTTCGTCCCTTTTTTATTGTCTTGTATGGTGAGGTTTAAAGGCTTCCTAGGGCAAAGCTGTTGGCTTCATTCATCTGGCTCAAGCGTAAGATAGAGATCTACTGGGAAACGAAGTGTCGCAAAATGGTTGCTTGTTTGTAGAACCAAGCATTTTGTCAACTTAATCTATAAAGGGGGTATTGTCCAGTAATGGGATTAGCAGGAACATGCTCATACGCATTCAGAGCCAAATAGAAACTTATTTCAAAATTGAGCATGGAACACTTAACTCCACGTAAAAGTTCATTTTTGTGTGTGTACGGTATACATACGTGTCCCAAATTAGCCTCCCCCCACATTTCTCAGTGATTGTGTGTTTTCATGCATTGTTACAGCATAGAAAGTGCTTCAAATAATTGGGCTTTGTCCTGGTAACTTTCAGCATGTTTTATAGCTGTGGATCCTGAATGAATAACTTAGGATTTATACCCCTGGATATTTTATCTGATTTTGGAAGAGAGGAATTTTAGATAATCGGGTGAAATTGTAATCTTCTTCCTCGACAGGGTTGCAAGCCAAGTAGCTGCCTTGACCTAGGGCTACAACCAGCGAGTGGATGCGATCCGGAAGACCCTCCTAAAGTGCTGTACCTTTTAGGGGCTGATGGCAGGCTGTGTTTACTCGGCAGATTTTGCCCTCAGAATTGCATTATCATTTATAGGGTAAGTACACCATTTGATCACAAATCAAGGGGAGGCATCTCTAATGATTTCTATTTGGGATCATTTCCTCATCACAAGCATTTCTTGCTGTCCTGGTAAAAGTGGTCATCTCTCCCCTCTCTGCCCCCACCGGCTACCGTGAGGGTTTCTCTCCTGACCTTCAAAGCAATTTGTGTGGGGGGGGGAAGAAGTCCCTTTTTCACTAGCAGGACTCCCTTGTGCTGGGCCTCCCCAACATCCAATCCTATTTAAGTCTGAATCCATACCCGTAAGACATGAAGAATCTGGAAAAGGGACGCGGGTGGCGCTGTGGGTAAAAGCCTCAGTGCCTAGGGCTTGCCGATCGAAAGGTCGGCGGTTCAAATCCCCATGGCGGGGTGCGCTCCCGTTGTTCGGTCCCAGCGCCTGCCAACCTAGCAGTTCGAAAGCACTCCCGGGTGCAAGTAGATAAATAGGGACCGCTTACCAGCGGGAAGGTAAACGGCGTTCCGTGTGCTGCGCTGGCTCGCCAGATGCAGCTTTGTCATGCTGGCCACGTGACCCGGAAGTGTCTCCGGACAGCGCTGGCTCCCGGCCTATAGAGTGAGATGGGCGCACAACCCCAGAGTCTGTCAAGACTGGCCCGTACGGGCAGGGGTACCTTTACCTTTTTACTTAAAGCAATGAGCACATGTGTTTGAGTCTGAAGTATGTTTCAGGTGAATGACTTAACTCCCAGTTGTACCTGTGCTTATTACAGATGTTTCCACATGTTTGAAATGTTTGCCTTTACACATACCTATTGCCTCAGGCTCACTATACCAGGCATCAAATAAGTGCTTACAAAATAAGCATCATTTCCGCAGCCCTCTGCCTTCCCCAAAAACTTGAGAGATTTTTGTTTTATGTTAAAGCTGTACATTTTCTGTTCTGTTTCCTGATTTGAAGGCCAGAAGTAGCTGTTAAGTCAAAGTATACTTTGGCACAGAAGAAATGGAAAGTGTTGAATGCTGATTTGTGTTTTAAGGGGACTTTATCCCTAATAAATTAAACCTAATGTCAGTGTTTGTGCTATGCCCTCTATGATGACTAGAGTGGGTGGCTTGTGTTTGAGAGCCAGATTACTTCTTAAATTGGGAGAACTAAATTATTTTAAGCAACATAGAAACTTGGTGTAACCAATGAATCCTATCAGCTAGCACAGTTAATTTGTCTAAACTGGTAGAATTCTTTATAGTTGCTTAAAATATAAGTTACCTTGAACAAATTAGTGAAGAGCTATTTAACCTGGAAGAAATGGTCTGATAATCCCAGCAGGTAAAATGATAAGCCTTTGATAATGGGGCAATTCTTGAGGGAATATGTATAGGCTTTTACAATGTCCTGGCTAAGACATAACAAACCATGAACCAAAGCTGAATCAAAAGTGTGCAGTTTGTAACCCAAGGATAGAAAGTGCTAAAAGAATACAAGATTAATAAGAGTACAAAATAAAAATAAGAGTACTTAGCAGTGCATGGTGTAAAGTTAGGATACATGATGATATTGGAAGTATATCTGTTGGCACTGGGGAAGTTTCTGGTACCGCAACTGAGAAAATGAAAACTGAGAACTTCATTTTGAAAACAGGCACTAAAGTATGGCTTTAATATATAAATACATACAAAGTATTAAAAGGCATTCTGTCTCTGTAAGGTGATGTCAGCAAGCATATCGCTTGGAAATAGAAGCGGTTTGTATAACAATTTCTTCAAAGCTGTAGCTAGAGATAAAAACAGGATATCCAAACACAAAAAGCAAACTTCAGCCAGTCAAAAGTAGAACTGAAGGAGACTAATCAAGCCAAGACAGCAGAAAAGAGAAATTAGCAAAGTTCTTGGAGTGCAATTTTCACCTAACTATCTAAACGTAATCTAGACTTTTATAGATACAGAAATTTAAACCTACAGTACAGTCACACTGTGAAGTTTCCCATTGCTATTGACACTTTTACTGGATTCCGTTTCAGGGCACCATGGTGACGTAGGCGCTCCTATGGCTGATGTTATTCTTCCAGGAGCAGCTTATACAGAAAAGGCTGCAACATACGTGAACACTGAAGGTAGAGCTCAACAAACAAGAGTAGCCGTAACACCACCTGGCATGGCAAGAGAAGACTGGAGAATAATTAGAGCAATCTCTGAGGTACTGCAAGTGTAGCAGAAATGGACCTTTCCAGTAACAGTCTTTTTTATTGCTATACTGCATTTATATACCGGCTTGATTCTCATGTCATGTCACTACACATTTTAAAACAAGCTGTGGTTGAATATGAAGAAGCAGTATGCTGGTATATGTTGCTAAGAGGTTCTCGATTGATTCCTCTCCTGCTCCTGCTGGGAAACAAGTTAGTCTAACTTGTTGTGATGCCAGAACCCATGCTTGTGTTTTCTCTCTCCCCAAGCAACCAGAGACCAGTAACCAAGATTGCTCTTAGCTTAATGCTTCTGGCTGGTTTGAGGAACACAATCATGCCTTTGTTCAGACGTCATGACAAACCAAACTCTGGCATGAGCACTCTGGCCTGGACATCCTATATTGATTTGCAAGCTCCACTGGACTTGCAATCTTCCGAAATGAATTGCTATGAAGTGCAAATATTAGAAATAGACCATTTATGTGAAATATCTTTTCTTGAATCTGGCAAGTCCTGCTAAAAGTGTGTGTGGACTGACTTTTTTTGCATGCTTGACTGTCTGGAGAAGGATGGTAACATATTGTTGATTTTGCTCAGTGGTTTGAATCAGTTAAGACTCACCATTTGGAACTGCACAAATTCTAACAAACCTGGGTGGGATTCTAAAAGGTAAAGGTACCCCTGCCCGTACGGGCCAGTCTTGACAGACTCTAGGGTTGTGTGCTCATCTCACTCTATAGGCCGGGAGCCGGCGCCGTCCGCAGACACTTCCGGGTCACGTGGCCAGTGCGACATCGCTGCTCTGGCGAGCCAGCACCAGCGCAGCACACGGAAACGCCGTTTACCTTCCCGCTATAAAGCGGTCCCTATTTATCTACTTGCACTTTAAGGGTGCTTTCGAACTGCTAGGTGGGCAGGAGCTGGGACCGAAAGACGGGAGCTCACCCCGCCGCGGGGATTCGAACCGCCGACCATATGATCGGCAAGTCCTAGGCACTGTGGTTTTACCCACAGCGCCACCCGCGTCCCTGGGTGGGATGCTAGGCATAAACAAACTTGCCAGCCATTTCGCTTTCTCTTGTACTTGAGCCAATCAGAAATTCTACTTTGCTAAATGGTTGCCTTATTTACCCTAATAATTATGGATTGTATCCAATCTTAGCCCTACACAAGGTAGATTCATTGAACTTAATGGATGTGACTAACTGAGGTCCATTGATTTCAAGGGGGTATTCTACTCTGAATAACTAAGTTGGATACAATCCTGTACCTTTCAAGATGTATCCTTTTAAGCATGTTCATTGCAAAGGTAGTGTGTTTTCCAACAAGGAACAAATCTGAACCCAGTCTTGAGGTTCTTCTTCCCACTTTTCTCTTTCAGATAGCTGGCATGACCCTCCCCTATGACACACTTGATCAAGTGAGGAGCAGATTAGAAGAAGTATCTCCTAACTTGGTCAGATATGATGATGTGGAGGAAGCAAACTACTTTAGCCAAGCAAATGAGCTGTCAAAGGTATGGGGTTCCACATTTATGCAGCGACAGCAAAATAAGTGTGTCTTGTGTCCTGCTGGAAAAGGTACCACAGGGCAAGTGAGAACAATTATTTTCATAAAGATGACTGCTTATTCTTTTTCAATGCAGGCAGTTAATCAGAAACTTCTTGGTGATCCTCTTGTTCCACCCCAGCTCACAGTTAAAGACTTCTATATGACAGGTAACAGCAGTACATGATCTCAATAGTGTGTCTTACTTAACGCATGGGTACATAATATTTCCCATTTCTTCAGTTGAGAGGCATACCAATTTTGTTTCTGTGTAAAATACTTTAATTGCAGATACCATGTTCAGTGAACAACACTTGTAAGTCTTTAAACTTCTAGAGGTAATAGACATGTTTTTCTTTGCAGATCCCATTAGTAGAGCATCACAGACAATGGCTAAATGTGTTAAAGCTGTTACCGAAGGGGCCAAGGCTATTGAAGAACCCTCCATCTGCTAAGGAAATCCTAGAGTTACCAGTGTCGGATCAGGCATTCTTATGACTTTTTTCCAAAAATAATAATTTTGTGGTGTTCTATTTAGGTTTCCACTTTCTTTATGAATGCGGGTGAAAGTTTATTTAAAGCCAGCTGTCCGGTGTTCATTTGCTAATTATGTTCAGCACAGCTTAAATGTATTTAGACGTACATATTATGTATACTGATTGTGTACAAACATGATGTAAAATTAAAGCAGTTTTACATATGTAATACTGTTTCTCTGCACTGTGTTTCTCCAGTAAGTTAAATATAAAATTTGCTCAAAGTACAGATGGCAGACTTTGGACAGAGGTGAAATCTTAACACTTGCAATGTGAAACAATGTAGCAAGCATCTTGTTACTTTTTTTTTTTTGCAGAAACATTTAGTTAATGTGACATTGGTGGGTTTGTACAACTAACTCACCAACAGGTTAAAGATTCCTTTAGAAGTACTCCCCCCTCCTTTCCAGTCCTATTTCATTTCAAAGGAAATTTAGACTTTACAGTTTGGGTGCGTCTTAAAACTTTGAAAATAAGGAAAAGTGATATAGGAGTTTTGTTTTACAATGGCCCAGAGCTGTATTATTTTAAAAGTACAGCAGAACAAGAGATGGCTTTTGACAGGGCAGCACAAATCTTAATTCTATCCTAATATCCTTCAACTAACATGGTAGCCTTTACCTAGTACAGTGGTGCCTCACAAGACGAAAATAATCCGTTCCGCAAGTCTCTTCGTCTAGCGGTTTTTTTGTCTTGCGAAGCAACCCTATTAACGGATTAGCGCTATTAGCGGGTTTAGCGGCTATTAAAGGCTTAGCGGCTATTAGCGGCTTAGAAAAGGGGGGGGGAGCGAAAAAAAATTGCAAGCCCATAGGGAAAATCATCTTGCGAAGTGCATCGAAAAATGGAAAACCCTTTCGTCTAGCGGGTTTTTCGTCTTGCGAGGCATTCGTCTTGCGGGGCACCACTGTAGTTCGGACTTGTTCCATCTAAGCAAAAATAAGACTTACACATTAAATAGCTTACTCCTAAGGCACAATGGGAATGTGGCAAATCTAATATTATCTACTGTGGGTACTGCAGAAACTTATTTAAAATTCAGGAAATGCAAAAAGCCACTTATTTTAAATGGTCAGTTTTAGCCAACTTCAGCTTGTACAGGCATCTGTAGACTGACTCATCTATGTAATGCTGTTCTCTGGTTTAGCATTACTAGACCTTAACCTGTCTGATTTTTGAATTACTGTTTTGAATAAGAGAGGTTGGGGTCTATAAATGACCTGTGTTATGTGCAGCCTGGGGGGTGGCACATCCCCAAGCATACCATTTTAACACGTTCTCGGGAACAATTTTTTTTGGGGGGGGGTTGTAAGGTGGGAAATAGTGATGCACAAATCAATGTCTAGAATCCCAGTTGTAGTTGTTACTAGAAGTACTCACTACCAGCTGGTAGTGGTTCTTATTTGCACCAAAACATACACTTAATTTTAGCACTATTTGTTGATCAACCGTCCAGCATAAGAACTGACATGCCAAATAACTGTGGTTTAAAGTAGCTTTCTCATAAAAGTTGCTGTACTGGTGACTACTTTCTCAAAAATCCCTGGAAACAACTAGAGGAAGAAACAGCAAGCTCTTAGATAATTTGTTTGAATGCTAAATATTAACATCGTAATATTATGAAATTATGTACTACTCGTTGACAATAATCTGAATGCTATTTAGGATTAAAAGTGCCAGCCCACAGGTTTAATTATTTCTTAGACTGGCCCTAATTTGACAGTTTAATTTTTGCAGTTACTAGTACAAGACCAATAAACTGCATAAATATCTAATATATGAGTATGGATAAATGCCAGCCCAAAATTTCCCTCCCTGCTGCCTTTGCCCCATTTTCTCTCACCCAATGCCAGCACTGTTGCTTGTGGCCACACAGCAGAAGTACTGTATTGGAAGGACCCTCCCCCATTTTTTAAAAAAAATCATGTGCTTACAGACCTATTAAAGCATGTCTGTTTGTTCCTTTTGTGGGGGGTGTATGTTGCTTTGTAGGCCTGTAAACCGGTGCTGTCAAAAGACAGCCAGGAAGGGTTGGCTTAGTTCACCAGCTACTAAAAGGACTGGTTTACCTCTTATCTTGCCTCTTGACAAGTCAACATAAATTTAAGCTGTTTTTCAAAAAAGCAGCTAGAACAAGTATGTTGAAGCAGCTACAGCCAGCCCAGGTTCTGATATCCCAATGTGCTTCCTATATCCCATCATGTGCTACAGGTACAACTTTTAAAAAATATGAAGGTGATCCTTAAGTATTGTAAGAGAAAGTTCCCTACCACCCCAGTTATACAACTTATTTCATCCATTTTCATTATAGAAAGTAGAATCCTCCCTATTCCCCACATTTGTAGTAGCAGTGTTACCCATAAGGCTAACATGTTGTAACCCACCCTGGGACCTTAGGGTGGGGAACAAATGAATGAATAACAGCACCAGAGGGCTACTATGAACAAAATACTACATAGACATTGCTCATGTATAGGAATTCCTTTTAATCTTATCTACAGAGTATTGCATGATTATGAAAATGGGCACCTGTGCCCATGCTAGGATGCAGAGTGGTACTTGCAGGCTCACGATGTAACCACTAAGTCTAGATAATAGGCATAAGCCTGAGTTTAAAGGAGGGAATATGAGGAAAAATCTCTGTTGCACCATAATTTAGGTGTCCAACATTTTAATTAGTTAGATTGCAAATATTACAAGTGGGCCAAAATAATTTTCTGAAGCACTTTGTTACTCTTACTACTGTGGGAAACTGACGTGACTGTTACTCTGAACAACTAGGAATATCTTATAAGCACAGGAAGACTTCGATTCTGTTTATCTAATAATCTAGTCAAGTAAATGCTTTGGAACAAGAACTGTAAGTTGCACAATGTGTGGGATTCTTTCCACTTGTGCAGTGGGGTTTCCTGACAACAACACCTCCGCCCCATAAAACTGACAACCTCCCAAAGAACAAAAGGGGAATAATTCTGTCTAGCAAGCTGCAAGGCTTCTATAGACAGAACATATGTAAGCACAACATTGATTTCCACCCAGTTTTTACAGTGACATCCTATAAACATCTCTCCTCAGAAATAAGGTTCATTGAGTTTCACAGAGCTGAATATTTAATAATAATTTTATTATTTGTACCCAGCCCATCTGACTGGGTTGCTGCTTCCAACAAATATAAAAGTATAATAAAACATCAAACAAAAAAATCTTCCCTATAAAGGGCTGCCTTCAGATGTCTTCTAAAAGTCGTATAGTTCTTTATCTCCTTGACATCTGATGGGAGGGCGTTCCACAGGGTGGGTGCCACCACCGAGAAGGTCCTATGCCTGGTTCCCTGTAACTTCATTTCTCACAGAGCTAGATCTCAGTGTCTGGGCTGAATGATAGGGGCGGAGATGCTCTTTCAAGTATACAGGGCTGAGGCCATTTAGGGCTTTAAAGGTCAGCACCAACACTTTGAATTGTGCTTGGAAATGTACTGGCAGCCAGTGTAGATCCTTTAGGACCTCTGTTGTATGGTCCCAGCTGCTACTCCCAGTCACCAATCTAGCTGCCACATTCTGGATTAGTTGTAGTTTCCAAGTCACCCTCAAAGGTCTCCCCATGTAGAGCACATTGCAGTAGTCCAAGCAGGAGATAACCAGCAGATGTACCACTCTGGCGAGGTAGTGCGTAGGCAAGTAGGGTCTCAGCCGGTGTACCAGCAGATGGTAAGCAGCTGCCCTGGATACAGAATTAACTTGCGCCTCCATGGACAGCTGTGAGTCCAAAATGACCCCCCAGGCTGTGCACCTGGTCCTTCAGGGGCAGTTTCCCCGTTCTGGACCAGGGAACCCCCCCCACATGCCCACCCTGTCCCCCAAAACAGGACTTCTGTCTTGTCAGGATTCAACCTCAATCCATTAGCCACCATTCATCCTCTGACTGCCTTCAGACACTCACCGTCCTCACTGGTTCCAATTTAAATGAGAGGCGTTTGATGTTAACTGTCTTGGCTAGAAAGTTTAATATTATAACAATAAAAGGTAAAGGTACCCCTGCCTGTACGGGCCAGTCTTGACAGACTCTAGGGTTGTGCGCCCATCTCACTCAAGAGGCCAGGGGCCAGCGCTGTCCGGAGACACTTCCGGGTCACGTGACCAGCGTGACATCGCTGCTCTGGCGAGCCAGAGCCGCACACGGAAACGCCGTTTACCTTCCCGCTAGTAAGCGGTCCCTATTTATCTACTTGCACCCGGGGGTGCTTTCGAACTGCTAGTTGGCAGGCACTGGGACCGAACAACGGGAGCGCACCCCGCCGCGGGGATTCGAACCGCCGACCTTTTGATCGGCAAGCCCTAGGCGCTGAGGCTTTTTACCCACAGCGCCACAATAAAATTATTTTAAAAAATAAAAGGAATTGGTTACATCACTGTTTCAACTACGCTTATGTTTACATTGTTCACATTCAACAGAGGGTACTAACAATAGTGGACCTGGAACATCTGAGAACTACTGAACATTATATTAGCAAGAGCCACATCCCAGACAGCATTTTGCAGATCACATACAATCAATGAAGATGACAGTGCACAGACTGTCCATATACAGCACACAAAGAATATTGCAGATGGTAGATTTTGTTAAACCTAAATTAGTCAGTAAGTGTTTGGCAAATTTCTAATTTAAAGAATAAAAAGATGATTTGAAAGATCCAGTTTGTATTTAATGGATCCGAATACAGAAAATACAAAAGCTTCCAAAAGTTAAGTCTGTCCCCTAGATATTTGTTGCCTGGCCACAAGTTCTGACATTATATGAAGTTAGAATAACCCAGTGCTGCTGCCTGAAAGTAGAGACACTGTAATGCTACTAAGGAGTAAGAGAATTTCCCCTCAAATGGACAAAAACTATCAAGGAAAGGAATAGTACACCTGCCAAACATGCAGAACTGAAGGGAAGTTTGTCAGTTCCTTTGACAAGAATATTCAGCAGTAACAGATAACACTGCCAAATTTGGAGGGAAAATATTTCTGCTCCAGGAGAAAAATCCAGGTTTGCAGAATAGTGGCTTCTTTCTCTGAATACTGAGACACAAAGAAAGCTTCATGAGAATGAATGTGAAGTAATTTCAAACATCTTAGGTGTCCTATTCAGTGCTTTTAAAAAATGCGTATTTTAAAAATCTAGCAT